ATCCAGTTCATCTTTTAATGCAAAATCTTGGACATTTACATTAAAAGTGGACCAAAAAGTGGACCTTTGAGCCTTGTGTGTGTGTTTGTGTGGGGGAGGGGTTCTTCCGACCACCCCCCCCCTGCCTACGGACATGCGTACATGTAATATTTGGGAGCGCGCAGCGTTACATTTATAAAACGTACCTTCTTCCTCTGCCGCAAAGTCTTCCACTTCGTCCCGCTTCCCGTGGTATAACGCCACCCTGTTGCAGTTGCTGACGCACCTTTGATGATCCGGTGGGATAAGCCTCCTGTTAGTACAATCTCGAATACAGTTGTCTCGCACTTGGTTTCGCTTCTCCATTCCCAGCTCTGTCACTACAAGAAAATATCAAAAAAGTCGATTTCAGAAACATTGAGCTCAACCCGAGACAGACACGGGTACTGAATCCATGTGTCAAAAGTAAGTCAACGACGTTCATGTAATATTTGGGAGCGCGCAGCGTTACATTCATATTCGTATATAGCCACATGAGTACACAGCTCAAATGTACCTTCTAGCTCATCAACCAAATCTTCTAACTCGGTCAGCAGGTCTTGCAGGTCCTCCTCACGAGGCTCGGACATGGCTTCGGCCACAAGCACCAGGCAGCCCAGGAACAGGAGACACACTGACAGCTTCATCTTCCAATCGTATGGTGAACTCTGAGGAAAAAGTATAAAACAGATACAGTCATATATGCATGTACTATATATGCTTATATGCTTATAAATATGCACTGTAGCCTCTTAAAAAGAATCCTAACGGTTCCAGCCTGTCGTGCGAGCTCTGCACGAGGTTGACGTCTTCTTTTTTTAATTTATCTTTCACTTGTCATTTTAACACACAGCAAATAGACGCTGAAGGTCCGTACAATTACAAGTGTTTTTCTGGTTTGATCGTACAAATCCACTACCTTCTTTGCATACTGAACATATTTTCACTAGCAAAACGAGAAGCAAATATCACATCAACGGTTTATTTGCATTAAAAAACAACAAAAATGGCAGCCAGATGCTGAATTGACATGGGGACATTACATAAACAGCAAACAGTATAAAACGTCATCTTAATTTAAAATAGTAATAAACCATTACATAAAATGTATATAAAATATTGTCAGTAAACGTTTACAAGTGCAAATAACATTTCAAATAACAATACCGACGGACAATGGTAACACTGAAATAAGTCTTAGGTCCAAAAAATGTGACAGTGTTACATGTTAAGCAGGTGGATCATAAAGGGAAGGGCACTATTCTAATAACGATCAGTTCTGCTGCGAGGAGTGTTCATAAAGCTGATCTCTGTGGAAAAACGCCAGGGGCACTGCAGGGTTTTTATCCATTGTCCACAAGCGCTGATCTTATCAACGTACCCACTACAGGAATTACTGTTTAGCATATAAAGAAGAATTCTAAACCGATATATCCAACACAATAAATAGATAAATGCCTCAATTTTATATTAACTTTCTTAAAAGCTCACTACACAGGTCATGAATATCTGCAAAAATTCAAAGTAATATATTACGTCAGCTATGCATACTAATGTTACCTACTGTTTACAGGTTCAGCATCTTCCCGTTTTTGAGGCAGTTGTAGATGTACGAACATATGGAACTGTTGACACATGGTTTGTCAAGTTGTCTTTTTTATAAGGCATACGATTTTTCCGCTTTGACTAAAAGTCTAAAGCTAGGAAACTTATTTCTTATAAAAGTATAAAGGAAATCTATATTTTCTATACTATGTAAAACCAAATCTAATGCTTAGGTCACAATTCAAGAAAGGGGCCCGCTCGGCGCGTGTTCGGCGTGTTTTTTGGCACTACCGAACGGGACCTGGACGGAGACTGGCGGGCTTCCCGACGGCTGCCGGCCTATTTTTGGCCCCGCGCGGTCGCCGAATCGATTTTAACTCAGAGTTAAAAACACTTCGGGCCCCGTTTGGCGAAATACGCCGAAGCGACGCCGTAACCTCACTGCCCGGGACCCGTCGGGCGGCCGAACAGGCACCTGCCTAAGATTATGACGTCACATGTGCTGATCAGTGCATCAGATGGTCAGGAAAAGGGGGTTATAGGGATCATATATAAACTCCTGCCTCAGACTACGTCGCACAGTTCACCACGTGTGTGTTACATCGTGTACTTGTGTGTGTTACACCTTGTATTTGTGTGTCAGAATGTCGAAGGGAAAGGGAAAACAGCCGGCACGGCTCTCTTGCCAACTTCATAAAACAGATCATAACAGGAATAGGATGTGTCCGACATTATCTCTTGTTACATCATATGCCTTCGTAATGAAATGGAAGCAGAAGTTATTGGCATTTATTTTCAGTCCAAATTTCAACAGAAGTAACGATATTCAGTGGTTTTATTGCTCAATAGCAAGGAGCTGCCACGGCACACTTCCTGCGTCACTGCTGAAGTACTTCCTGCGTCACTGTTGAAGTACTTTCGAATGTAGGCCCTCGGTTACTTTTGCGACGCACCAGTTCTGCCTGCCTCTCTTCTTCAGCTACCAATGCCAGAAGACCTACATGTAGGTTGTCACCAATCTCAATCTCAGACGGGCTTGTAAGTTGTTTGCAGGTTGCACTGAACGCTGCATCGCCAACTTCAGTCTACTCTTTACTTGACGTGTACTCTTTATGGCTGCTATAAGGCTGTTACGTGTAAGTATGAAATAAACTTCAAATAAACTTCAAACTTTACTTGAAGTGAACGGTAGCAGGCAGTGCAGCGCTTATATATGTACCTGTTCAAAAACGCGAGAGGAGCCCGTCGGGATCCCGCCAGGAACCCGCCAGGGACCTGACAGCTGCCCGGCCGAACTGTAAGAGCCGGTCGGCACCCTACCACACGCCGCACGGGTCAAGACGGGCGACTGACCGGGCACCGGACGGGTCCCTGACAGAAACCGGCCGCAAAAGTTTATGAATATTAATGAGAGCCGCCGGCCGGAGCACAAGCAGGCCCCGACAGGGAGCCGTAAAGGAACATTTAATTGTGACCCTGACAGTACGGCGCACGCTCGGCGTCATGACGCCGGCCGGCGTCTACGCCGAGGACATGCCGAACGGGCGCCGTTTCAAATGTGACCTAAGCATAAACGTAACCAAATGGCACAATCTCAATTTGATTCAAGGACTGGATCCACAGGACCATGCTAAACTTTTGCCCTAGGCAGTTGGGCAGTCGACTGTAGCCTGCTTCTATTGGAAAGGACCCGATAAGCAAGCGTCTGACAGGGTGTACCAGTCGAACAAGTCACAGTGGGGACGTGTGGAGCAACGGCAGCGTTCTCGACCCGGAACCAGTGGCCCCGGGTTCGAGTCCTGACATGCCACCGATCTTGTGCCCTTGGGAAAGGCACTTTACAGGACTTTCCTCACTTCGCTCAGGTGTAAATGAGTATTGTACTGTCCCTGTGTTGGTGGCGGCATTAATATAAGTTGAAAAAGCTTGAGTGTGCTGTCACCACGTCTTGTGATTACATGTTTCGGAATATAAAAAAAAAAAAAACGGCAGAGCGTTCGACTCCGAACCAAGAGATCGCGAGTTCTGCCACACCACAAAACTTGGGAAATGCATTTGAAATGAATATCCTTATTTAAATCTAGGTCACAATTTAAAAAAAGGGGGCCCGTACGGCGCATTGGCGCGTTGTTTTTGGCACTATCGTACTGTACCTGGAAGGAGACTAGCGGCCGGGGTTCCTGACGGCAGCCCGCCTTTTCTTAGGCCCCGCGCGGTTTACGAATTGATTTCAACTCGAGCTTAAAATCTCCCCAGGCCCCGGCGGCAAACGTACGCCGGGACGAAGCCATAACCTCACCGGACGAAGCCTCCCGCCGGGTCCGACCAGGCTCCCTCATGGGCACCTGTCTAAAGGCGCGGTCACATTTTCCAACCCGGGGCCCGGCTGGGCAGTCGTTTGGAACGAAAATCATGATATGAGACAGCAAAGCACAAAAAAAGTTTTAGAAAATTAACCTTGAGCACTACTTGTGTATACTCTGTGTACAAATTGTTTCTTTTTCGTTCACGCAAACAACCCGGCCAGGCCCTGGCTTGGAAATGTGACCGTGGCCTAAGATTATGACGTGGCGTCTGCTGATCTGTGCATTAATTGTTTAGGAGAAGGCGGTTCATACGAAGGACTTAAAGTCGATATGATGTTCTCGACATAGCCCTATCATCAGTGAGTCGCAGTGTCCATACACGTGTCTCAGCTTCAACTTAAGCCTCAAGCAGGGGCGAACCCACCATAACAAATAGGGACGTACAAGACAGGGACCCCACCAGGGACCTAAAAGCTGCCCGGCCGAACTGTAAGAGCCGCTCGGCACCCTACCTCACCCCGCAACTGACCGGGCATCAGACGGGCCCTAAGAGAAACCGATCGTCCAAGGTACGGTAATAAAAGTCTGTGAATTTTAAATAGAAGCCGCCTTTAGCGCCCCGACAGGGAGCCTTAAAGGAACATTTGTGACCCTAACAGCCGGCGCACGCTCGGCTTCATGACGTCGGCCGGCCTCTACACCGGGTACATGCCGCGCAGGTCCTGTTGGAAATGTGACTCCAGCTTTAACTAAGTTGAATATATGAGTAATGTTGAAATAAAAAAAAGGCCGAGTTGGCCGATCGGCATCACAGGGCCGAAATTTTAGTCGTATTTCTGGATCGTCAAAAGGAACTGAATAGATATCCCATATCCAAGTGGATCGGTGGCATTGTGCAGGCGAAGATCGCCCGTACTCTAAAAAAATCGTGCGAGCATAGGGCTTGTTTTCTGCCAAAAATGTTCATTTGACGAGCTAGCTAGGTTGTGTTTCAGCGGTGTCAAAAGTTTCTTCTTCAAACCGATGAAAGTACCAACCTTTCCTAAAATAGATTTTTGGACAAAGAGAGCAGTAGAAGACGATTTGACCACATTGACCACAGCGACATCGAAACGTCTAGAAACCCAACATTAACTCCCATATGTCTAACAACCAAACAAGCGAAAAAATATAACAGAAAAAAGATATGCGTGCTTCATTTACTAACCGGATTTCTTGTCGCGGCAAGGGTGGCGCCTGCAGCTGGAGATCCTTTTTCAGGAGCTGGAGATTCTTCTCAGATCCGGAGACGAGAGGGTAGAATAAATTAGTGCGCGGTGATACTGGCCTATTTCAATGTTTACAGGTAGTAATTATGCTAATTAAAATCTAACAGTAAGGAGAATTGCTCTGCTTGCTGTCTGGGTATGGGCATTTCATTCATTTTCCAGGCCCTTCTATTGGAAGGTGCTATCGCTCTTTATCTACTGTCATGACCGGTACCAAGTTCTTGGTACGTCCGATCAGTTCATATCAAAGGAACTGAAATCGGCTAAGAATGAAAGGGAGTAAGGGACTATGATCAAAACGTAAAAACTTAAACAAAAATATCGCCGTAGGCCTATCCAAAGAAGGTGTGCTGATCTGCAGAGTTAGATGAATGAGGTATGTGTTGTGTGACGTATTTCCCGAGGCGTTTCCTTGTATAACGTAGGAGAAGGTATACAATTAACATTCCTTTTATTGTATAGATGCAACGGCTATAGAGGTCAGGGGGTTAATTATCAGGACTCTGATTGTCACTCTGTATTCTGCTGGCTCAATCATCACACTTTACCTTATTTTAACACAACAAATGTGTAAAATTAAAACAACCATTTCACCATAGATATATACAATGCATAATCAAACATGTGAAAGGTTCGCCTCCTAATAGAAATAAGTGAGGGTAAACCTTTTACAGAAGCAAAATCTTACGAACCGGCAGAGTTTCTAGATGACAACCATGACGTAAAAATATTTTACATGGCATAAGGTCACAGAGGGGAAACGTAAACTAATATTTCTGCTGTTTCAGAATTTTATAGGAAGCTGAAATCTCAGATGTTCCGAAACAGACAACATTGACGAACTTTGACCTGACAAGAAGGATTGATGGGAAGCCCTTTAATCATAGCCTATTGACGTCCCGTGTATTGTTGAGAGTTCTTCGTGCACAGCAATTATACAGACTAGCAATTATGAAGAAACCCATATTGTTTAACAACAGTTGTCTGTTCACGTTAAATAATGGTTGTACTGTACATGTATCATTTCAGTAAAAATACAAGATTCTTCCCCACTGGAAAACAAATTTTACATCTATATTGAACAAATATAGCTTTAAGCCCAGTTCGATCGGTGTAATGTAGCCAGCTGCCGCCGACCCGCGTGCCTGCGAAGCTGGTGTGTTACACCGAGAGGCGGTTATACCGGCTTTACAGATACAGATACGGAGTTCTTTAACTGCAAAGAAAAAATAGTATGTACATGTATGGATCGGCTTGGTATAGAAGAGACCATGAGAAAAACTTAAATCTTTTGAAAACAGGGAATGTACCTCCGTAGGCGTAGGTAAAGATTGGGTGCCGATCCGCAGAGTTGGATGAATGGGGTTTGTCAGAGGGTATTAACGTTTCATTAGATAACGCATGACAGTGTATGCAATCTACATTCCTCTTATTGTAAGGATGTAACGTCCAAAAGGGTTCGGTGGCTAATTATCAGGACTCGGATGGCCGCTCTGTATTCCACCTGCTCAATCATCACACCTTACCTTAATTCAACACCAAAAAATATTTAAGATTCAGAAGAGAGAACAATCATTTGACCATGAAGATTTACATAACTTCAAACATTATGTGAAGTTCACCTCTTAGAAAAAATAGGTGAGGGGAAACCTATTATAGATCCAAAATCTTACGAACCGGCAGAGTTTTTCGATGACAACCATGACGTAAAAATATTTTACATGGCATAAGGTCACAGAGGGGAAACGTAAACTAATATTTCTGCTGTTTCAGAATTTTATAGGAAGCTGAAATCTCAGATATTCCGAAACAGACAACATTGGCGAGCTTTGACCTGACAAGAATGATTGATGGGAAGCCCTTTAATCATAGCCTATTGACGTCCCGTGTATTGTTGAGGGTTCTTCGTGCACCGCAATTATACAGATGAGCAATTATGAACAAACGTAAATTGTTTAACAGCAGTTGTCTGTTTAAGTCAAATAATGGTTACACTTGCACAAGTTTCATTTCAGTAAAAACTACAAGATTCTTCTCCACTGGAAAATTCCACATTCATATAGAACAAACGTAGCTTCACACCCAGTGGTATTTGACATAAAGCGAATTAATAACTTACCGTAACGAGACTTTATTCTACCCAAATCAGTTGTCAAATCACTCTTAACCTAACGCCATGACTGGTACATACATACATACATACATACATACATACACATCAGACACAACTTCCTTGTTATGTGGGTGGGTAGTGGTTATACCCCCGTCACATTGTCGACGAGCTTCGGCCGTATTTGTCAGTCGCCGAAAGATCGGCCGATTTTGAGATCGACCGACGATCGCGCGTATTTTTGGCTTGAAAATCGTCGCGGTCACATTGTGCGAGGCTCGGGCGATCTTTTGGCAATACATCTATGATAATGAAGTCCCTATGACATGGCACGCAGATGAAGCAAGGCCGTGTATCCACCAAAAATGAATAGTTTAACCAATTTCCATGTTTGACCTGTCGTTATATATTTTAAAGCAAAGTAATGGAGCGGGCTGGCAGAATAAAATAGAAATACAAACAGGAATTCTGTGAAGGATCCAACTCAAATACTACCACAAGAGCCACAAATCTACACCACCGTCTGGTTAACTCAACGACCACCTTTTTAACCAGACAGGAGTCGGCCGAAGCTCGCTCGACACACGGGCGTACGTCGCCCGAGTTACGGTCGACAATCTATCGATGCTCGCACGATCTCTAGACCATTCAACTAAAACGTACAACAAGACATAATGAAAATGATTATCACTATATCAAAATCTTTTTATACACGAACAATCCTGAACAAAGCTAATAAGATGTATTGTTCTAAATCTTTGCCTGTATATACTTCTGTCTAAAATAGTATGAATCTTCCGGTAAACAAGCCATTCAATGTCAGCAAAGTAGACAGAGGTAAAAAGACCCATACAATATAAACTTCAACTAGTCAGTAATATCTATCACATGACGTTCTTGTGGGCACCCTAAGAAAAAAGTCAACCTCATTCCAGAATGAACAAGTGTAAACGTCAATTTATTATACAGCCATCTGAAATAAGGCCAAACACCTCCTAAAGGGACAAGAGTAAAGAATTCTATGTGCGTTCAATAAGCTGAGGTCAAAATCTAGGCATTTTTTGGCCTTATATAGTTAAAACCTCATCATCTTTTTAAAGTGATTTTGTTTATTAACGAATGTTGATTTAATAAAAGGACAAAAAGGACGATTTTGACTATTTTTATTCTTTCTCGTAAACATAACTTAAACAATCAAATGGACGTTGCTCCTGCAAACTTTACACAGTATACTGTCAATGTAATCTCAAATGAATGTCACAGGTGCTGAATAAATAATAACTTCAGAGGAGCTCGACCGAGGCTCGTAGAGCCTTCATCCGACACTGGCACGAACCTCGCTCGAAGCACGCACGAGTTTAAAAACTTTGCGCAAGTCGGGCGAGGTACGAAAAAGGGTCGTCCGAACATTTCGCGAAGCTCGCGAGAGGGTCGACCGTATTCAGCGACCGTCGCCCGATTTTCAAAGACGAAATACGGCCGAGGCTCGTGGGATGTACATGTACGTCCGAATATCGGTCGACTCTCGGCCGCACAGGGGCGATCTAAGGTCGAGCTACACGCGAGCTGGAAACGAGCTCTGCGACCTCAAAAATCGCCGGCGACTAGTCGCTGATGTTAAAAACACGTTTCGCGTGTCAGCGAGCTTCGGCCGACTCCAAAAAATCGCCGGCGATCCCAAAAATTCGAGCGATGCTCGAAGGAACATCGGGCGTTTTACGGCCGTAAATGTTGTTTAGAGCTCGCAAACTAGTCGGCCGATCGATTTACGCGCAATGTGACGGGGGTATTAGCGGGTCTTGAATGGTCAGATAGGACAATACAATGCTGTTTAACAGTAAAACCAACAGAAATGGGCAAAAACTACTGGATTTTGCTCAAGAGTAATATGTAACAAGTTTGTGCATCACGTAACAGACTAAGGGTAACACTCTACTGGGCGTCGCTTTCATTTATTTCATTTATTTTTTTTATCAGAGGAGTACAAGTTTTCATGTATCTCAGGGATACTATACACAATATACATGGGAAAACATACAATAATAAATATACATCGCACTCGCAATTCAATATACATTACAATCATAAAACATTTGCCACTTAAGTCCATAGGTCGATAGCTGCCAGTTCCACTCACAGAGAGTCTTTGAAAGCTGTTAAAGTTGAGACCTGTCTTTTGCTCTTTGCTCCATGGAAAGTTGGTTCCACAGAACCGGGCCCTGGTACTGCAGAGACCCTTTGAACGATGTGATGCTTGCCTGTGGAACTTTCAGCATGTGAGGATCCCAGTTATCTAGTTGGCTTACAGCCGTCCGTGTTCGTCTATTCAGCATAGGTGGGGACATCCATGTACACATGTAGGATAAGTATCGCTAATAAATTGACTCTATTATGACCCACAGAAAATGGAGGAACAACGTCAAAGATTGTCGGGCCTGTTCCCCTTTTTTCACTTTAGGCTTTGACCATCGAATAGTTTCTCCAAGGTGAAAATTTATTTACTTATTGTTGTACTTGATTGCGTGTTTAAAATTTATCTCGATAGACACAAAACAATGAACAGAAATTAATCAACCAAGCAACCGAATGTACCCTGCCGATAACCTTACTGATCTAGGTTTTTCAAATGACATTGCCTTTGTTGTAGATTCATTAAGAATGGAGAAACTACTTTACAATTACTAAAGGAGTCTGCTTATCCGTTTGGACTTCGTTGTAATGAATCAAAAGATATAACATAATCAAACATGTGTGAAGTAGCTATACCTCCCCCCCCCCCCTCGCAAGATATGAGTGATCGAGAAACTCTTTAGATAAGCAAAACCGGACCAACCGTTAGAGTGTTGACAACAATGCCGCTAAGAAATTTTACACAACGAATGGTCATATAGGCAAAATGTCAACTAACGTTTCATCTAATTCAAAGATTTCAA